ATTTTTCAAATGTTAGAGTCCCCCACAAATTTACTGAATCAGAATATGTGTGGATATAATTTGTCAGTGAGGGTTCAGAACTAAGGACTTAAGTGAACAGGAAATTTAGAAGGCTCAAATTTGGTGATTTTCAAAATAATTTACCAAGATATAAAAAAGAAGATACAAGATATAAAAAAGACATTAAGTTGTTGGAGACCCTTCTGCAAACCTAATTAAAGCAAGCCAATTAAATATATAAAATTTGTGTTATGAGCTTAATCAAGGTTGGGAGGGGAGTGTTAGGGTTGGTAAGAGAGTAAATCAGATCTGTTCCTGCTCACACATCCTACCTTCTTTCTGTTCCCCAAGTTGCTGAGTGGTTCTGGACTCCATGGAGCCCACATTTAAAACTTCTCCTCTCAAAGTTTCAAACATCTCATTTGACAGGTTAGATATCCATGAAAAAATACACACTGATGATACAAAGAAAAAGAAGTCTCAACAATAAGTGCAGGCCTAGTGTATTAGTCAGGGTTCTCTAGAGGGACAGAATTAATAGGATATGAATATATATATGTACTACTCTGCTATATAATATATATATATATATATAAAATATAGCAGAGTAGTATTAACTCACACAATCACAGGGTCCCACAATAAGCCATCTACAAGCTGAGGAGCAAGGAAAGCCAATCCAAGTCCCCAAACTGAAGAACCTGGAGTCTGATGTTCAAGGGCAGGAAAGGTCCAGCACGGGAGAAAGATGTAGCCTGGGAGGCTAGGCCCATCTAGTCTTTTCACATTTTCCTGCCTGCTTTATATTCTAGCTGCCTGCTTTATATTAAGCGTGGTTCTGCCTTTCCCAGCCCACTGACTCAAACGTTAATGTCCTTTGGCAACACCTTCACAGACACACCCAGGATCAGTACTTTGCATCCTTCAATCAAGTTGACACTCAGTATTAACCATGGCACCAGGGAAAGATTATTAAATGTCTTATTACGAGCTTTACAGTGAGCGCTTATTTGTCCACAGTGGTTCAATATGAAGGCAGTAGAAGGGACGAGATGAACTCTCATGATTACACATTCACATCTGATATTCCACCAATCAGCTCCTCTTCCAACCAACTTTTCCCAGTAAGAGAGCACTAAGACTACTCGTTTGTGTAGGTTTTTTAAAGATATTAACTTAAGCTGTTAATTACTGTTGCTGTTTAATGATTCACTTATGATAATTAATATATTAATTCTTTGTACTTGTGCCCTCAAGCAATTCTGTGAAGGGTATAATTTTTTAAATTCAGCGAATACAGCTAACAAGCAGTAACTGTCCAAGCAGTGCTACTTAAGTGCTATTTCATGAATTATAATATTTAAATTCCATTAACTTAAAAGGATTAGCTTCCAAGGGACTGTTGTCTTCTGATCCTTTTCATATTAATTACTTTTGCAATACCAATAACACTGGCGTTTGCACAGCATCTTTCTTTCACTGGGTCTTCATTCATAGTGAAAATGAGAGCTGAAAAAAAGAAAGGCCAGCCTGGGCAACACAGTGGGATCTTGTCGCTACTAAAAATAAAAATTAAAAAGATTAACCAGATATGGTGGTATACACCCGTAGTCCTGTTACAGTAAGTTAGGCAGACATGCACAGGGCAGGAGAGCCCCCTCCCCCGTAAGGAATATCAGGCAACTAGGAGGCAAAAGAGCCGAGTTTAACTGGTATAGGACCTTCCTCTAGGAATACTTTCCTGGTAAGGGAAGAATGCCCCTTAGTGCTTGAGCCCACTGGCCCAACTCCTGAGATCTTATTGGGAAGCTACTAATCAGTGGCTTCAGGTGTTTCTATCCATTGAGAGACTGCCTTTTCCTGGCACTGCCTACAACAAATTATTATTTTAGAGAGAGTTTAACAACCACCTGACCATCACCTAATGGTTGCCTGACATTCCAGTGGGGTGAGGTGGGGGCCTTTCTGTCCTGCTTGTGTCTGCCGGACTACCTACTGTCAGGAGGATGAGGTGGGAGGATTTCTTGAGCCCAGGAGTTCGAGTTGCAGTGAGCTATGATTGCACCACTTCACTCCAACCTGGGCAACACTGCAAGTCCCTGTCTCAAAAAAAGGAAAACAAGAGAAAAGAGAAAGAGGGAGAGAGAGGGGAAGGAGGGTTGGGGAGGAGGAAGTGAGAGAGAGAGAGAGAGAGGAAAGGTCAGTGTCCTCAAGTTCAATTAAATCCAACAACTATTTATGGAATGCCTACTATGTGCTGGACATGTAGACAGATACAAAGATGTGAGTGACTGTCAGTGGTTCAAAGCAGGGTAATGGGCATTATAATATAATTGCTCCAATTCATTAGGGACCTAAAATATACCAGATTTGCATATATTTTCTTTAATCCTCATGACAGTGGTGCAGGGTAGGAATCAAAATCTCTATTTTACAGATGAGGAAAAACTAAAAAGAGTTAAATGCCTTGCTTACAACCACCCAGCCAGTATTTGGCAAAACCAGAATTTGAACCTAGGCATAACTTGCTGGGAAATTCTGCCTTTTCCGCATAGAATATGTAAGCAGTAGACTCCAAGCAACATTGTGAGACAGGCAACGCTTGCCTTTGGTCTCCCTACCACCCTTACTTTATGTGATCCTATTTCTCTGTTGGAGCTCTTCCCCTCCCCCACCAGCCTTTTTTCTAGTACTTTCTTGGCTGTTCTCTGGATTTCAAGTGCAACATAGAAACAATCTATTTAGACATGCTCTCCCCATTAAGTCCCCTGCACTCTAGACCAGAGCTGTGCCATCCACTTTCAGCACATTCAGAAATGTTCTATATCTGCACTCTCCAATATGTCGGCCACTAGCTGCATGTGGCTACTGAGCCCTTGAAGTGTAGCTAATGTGACTGAGGAACTAAATTATTTTATTTTAATTAATTTAAATTTGAATTTAAGATGAAATAGCCACGTATGGTTAGTGTCCATCATTTTAAACAGCATAACTCCAAAATATTCTCAACTCACTCTGGGCTTAAAGTCTTCTTTTTCCATGTTTTATTTTCCAGAGCCTGTTCTGTTGGGACACAGAATCACTTACTGCATCTAATATATTGATGATGATTAATTTGTATGTACCTTCCAAAAAAGATGGTTGTGTTTGAACGAAGGCCTTCTGGACAGGAAAATGTAAGTTTTCAGATGAAATGACAGGCCACTTGGGGAGATATCTGATGATCAAAAGGGCCTTTAAACCTCATTAATTCAATACATGGAATGGCCAGATGTTGGTCCCACTTAATTTTTTGTCACATTCACCCTTTATGATAATTGAGCAATTTGTATCACATACCTCAACACAGAACTCAGATGTTTTCAAGTGCTTTTTCAAAGTACTTTTCCCAGGGTACATGTATTCTGCTTTCTGCTTTTTTCCTGTACTAGAGCCCAAATAGTTAACACCAACTGGAGTGCCCAGTTTCCTGAAAAATACTGTTGACAGGAGCCCAAAAGCAATAGCTCCCACCTGTCACAAACCTGTAGCAGGTCTCTGGGAGATGCTAGAAGCTACAACAGGCTCTCCGCCCCAGGGATATTGCATTTTCTCCCTAGAGTTATAAAAGAGAAAGTTTTCAGAGTACAAAATTGAAGGCTTTTACAGTATAAAATTGAAGAGGAACAAAGTGTATAGCTGAGGCACAGAACCAGACACTAAAGGCCGACCTCAGCAAATAAAGAGATTTTTAGAAAAAAGAAAGAGGCAGAGGGTGGGAGGAAAAGTGGATCTGGAATCAAAGCAGAAGCCAAAATCCAAGGACCAATAAAACAACTCCAAATCATGTCCAGGTGGGAGGGGACAAGCTCCAAGGGGCTTACAAAACAGCTCAAGGTTTTGAAGTTGGTTTTAGAGTCCACTGGTCTGAGAGCGCCTTCACTTTCCAGAAGGTCACTTGGTCTGAACTTAACATGGCCTAACATAAGGATTTTTCTTGCTATACATCCTTTCTTTCACGTGTACAAATTGAGTGCAGATCCCTAAAAGAGCTACATGCTGTTGGTCATTAACTTCAGGAAACTGACATGGGTCCGTCTAAGAAGAAACTCAGAGAGATGGAGTCTCCAGAACAAATGTGTTTATTTGGCAACAGCAGGGGATGGCAATACAGGATATGTGTGTTGTGACAGGTCATAGGCACATCCAAGGAGGTCGGGGCAAAGGGGAAGCTTTTAAAGACAAAGAGAAGGTCATGTGAGTTGCTTTTTAGTAAGGTTTATAGGTCACAAGTTCATAGCAGTTAATGTCTGTTTGCTGGTGGAGACTGTTGCTAAGTACCTGTCCCTGTGTAAGTGGCTTATCCAGAATACTGCCATCTCAAGGAAGTCATTGAGATAGGTCCTGTGACTGATGTATATGTCTTCTGTAAGGCCTGTTACAGGCATGTGTGCGTAAAGCCTTCTTCTTCACAGCCTCCCCTGACTCCGTTTTGTTATGGTTTGACATAAGTAACTCCATTTTGGCACCAGCACCTTTCACACATGGTAGGGAAAGAAAGGTAGGAACCCACAGGGAACAACTGAACGGAATTTTAAGCAGATGCCTCCAAATTTTTACTCAGATACGACTTAGGGAAAACGATCCTTCCATGCTTATAGGTATCATCAGTTTATTCTCAGACATGTTTTAATTCCTCCATTCACAATCAGCAGACCTTCACTCTGGGTTACTCACAGAAAAGCGCCACGTAGTTCAATTCTTATTGAATATGAGGGTTGCCCTTCACGAAGAGCATTAGGGCTTATTCGTCTGTCCATCAGATACAGACAGCTCTTGAGGTATCTGAAGCCTGTCTCTTCAGGTACACAAAGCATTACAGCATTAAGTCAGCAGGGCAAAGGACCATGGTTTTGCAATGAAAATAATAATTTAGGTGAGTAAAATAAAACATTCTTTTAGAGGGTTCACAACCATTAATTTTCTGTCTTTCAAAAATTACGTTCCGCATTGTTTTAGAAGGAGAGTGCGTGCTTTGGATTCAAGACTGGGAATGAGTAGACCAGAAATCTATTCTGTGGCTGTTTCTTGCTAGGACTTTCCTAAGCCTCTGGAAAAGGTGACTCTGTTGTGCTCACTGCTCTAACTCTTCAGGTTTCTTTCTGCATACATATTAAAAGGAGCTTATTCTCCCTGACAGAGCCTTTCTGATTTGACAGAACGGTGTAAGATATATTCACTCAAGTGAGAAAAAAAAGAAATTGAGGTCTGTTTGTATTTCCTTTAGGTTATAAGCTTCTTAAGCAGAGACTGTCACGTTTTTACTCCTTAGTGGACTGTAACGGTAGCATAATATTCTGCATCTAATTAGTCATTTCATTAATTTTCTTGGAACCAGAATGGTGACTACTGGCCTAATTAGAAGGAATCGCCCTTGGCTTCTAGGCTTAAAGATAAGCCCTTGTCGCACGGAGAGAGAAATGGACTTTACAAAAGATGTGACTATCAGAGGCATGCCCCTGTTCTCTCTGAGGAAGGGAAATTTCTCATTTCCTTCAGGGTCAGTCCTGCTGAGGCTCTCCATGGAGATGGTCAGCAAGGTGGGCGCCCACAAACCAGAGAAGAGTGAGGAGGGAACAAGGATTCTCTGTGTGGTGATTTGTGGCTTTGGGATAGCTGGTGTCAGTTTTACAAATGTATGATTGCGTTTTTTAAATTATGAAACTATTTGAATATACATACATGTGTATGTGTGTATATATGTGGATATGTGTGTACATATATATATATATATATATATATATATCTCAAAAGACATTGCTGTCAGAAAAGATGACAATTTTTTAAGAGCCTTTACCAAGTTTACAACCTACATAATGGTGAATATTCAAACTGACTTTCCTCAAAACACTTTTCAGCTAATTTTTCAAGCTGGTCCAAGAGCGTTCATGACAAGCTTCTGTCAACACCCAGGGGAGTTCTGCTGTGTCCACTACAATTCCAAAGCTAAAAGCAGAAGGAGGAGATTTCATTTTCACACCTCAGAGAGTTTATTTTGCTGTTCTCAGAGGCCAGTTCCTTCCCCCAGTTTCTTATAACAATTAATTATTAAAAGGTGATTTCACAAGGAACAAATGGTTAAGCACAAAGATTTAGTTGTCCTAGTGTTTGCATGGTTTTATATCCACTGTTTAATTTTTCCAGTGCAAAGTACAATTAACATTTGAGTCTGTCTGAGTCATGAAGAAATGGAGATTACTCTTATTACTGAAAATAATTCATTTTGGTATCTTCTTACATCCTGAGAGCCTAATCTTTCCAAGTTCATCTAAGGCTCCTCTTCTCCATGACAACCTCATCCAGGGATTTCTTCCTGTCCTGGTGTTTTATGACATGTAACTGAAGACCCACATGCTGCTTTGTATATTTTTGTCAAAAGAGAAAAAACCATCTTGTCGAGGACAGGAACTAAATTATATGCAGTATTTCTTTAGAATCCCATTCAGCATCTAAAATTGTTAGGTACAGAGAAGGCCTTCCATAAAAATTCGCTAAATTGAAACTAGGAGCAAATGTTAAGTCAAGATCAAACTCAGGAATAACTATGGCTATTAATAATCTTTTACCCAGAATTTAAATCCTTTCATAAGTATTGCCTGAAATCTTTTTATGTCAATAGTAGCATCTTTTACTGGTGGTAGGATGTCTGGGGTGAATATCACAGATCTGGTCCAAGTTGTTCCTGGGAGCTGGGGGTTAGGCAGTAGGAGAGAAAGAGATTTAACTCTTCCAAATACCTAGTGGATTAGGATCCCACAGGAAACTATTGAAAATGCAAATAGAGCGGGGGTGGTGGCACACACCTGTAATCCCAGCACTCTGGGAGGCCAAGACTGGTGGATCACTTGAAGCCAGGAGTTCAAGACCAGCCTAGCCAACCTGATGAAACCCTTGTCTCTACGAAAAATACAAAAATTAGCTGGGCGTCGTGAGGCCCACCCATAATCCTAGCTACTCGAAAGGCTGAGGCAGAGAATCATTTGAATCCGGGAGAGGAAGGTTGCAATGAGCTTTAATGGGGCCACTGCGCTCCAGCCTGGGCAACAGAGGGAGACTCTGTCTCAAAAAAAAAAAAAATTTAAATGCAAATGTGATCATACCTTAAAATCAGCCAATAGCTTCCCATTATCTTTAGAGGAAAAGTCCAAAGTCCTTGAAGTGGTACCCGAGGACCTTCTGAATCTAGCTCTTGACTTCTTTTTAGCTCATGTCTCACAGCTCCCCAATGTACTACCACCACCTGAAGCATGAAGTTGAAGTTGCCCTTGGTTTGCAATGCTTTTCCATTTCCTTTTCCTCATTAATTTCCATTTATTCTTCAAGGCCCAGATCAGGCCTCAACTTCTCCAGAAATCCTTTTCAGACACCTCAATTCTGGATGAGTTGCCCTTCCTATATGCCCCTACTCTAACTTTGCTTATCTAAGTATACCACCTGTTGCATAGTATCATCGTTTTCTGTCTTCCTCACCTGTCCTACCATTTAGTAGGCTGTTTTTTGTCTTAGTCCATTTGGGCTTCTATAACAGAACACCATAGACTGGGTAGCTTATAAACAACAAAAATTTATTTCTCATGGTTCTAGAGGGTGGGAAGTCCAAGAGCAAGGCACTGGCAGATTGGGTGTCTGTTGAGGACCCTCTTCATACACAGCTGTCTTTCTGCTGTGTCCTCACATGGAAGAAGGAGCAAAGAAACTCTCTGGGACCTTCTTTATAAGAGTACTAATCTCATTCATGAGGCTTCCACCCTCATGACCTAATCACCTCCCAAAGGCCCCATTTCCTAATACCATATCATTGGGGATTAGGTTTCAACACATAAATTTGGGGGAGAGAGGTCACAAACATTTAATCTACAGCAGTTTTATAGTGGTTAAGAACATAAGCCCTGAAATAAGATTTCCTGGGTTAGTATTTCATCTCTGCCTCTCATGAGCTTTGAGACCTTAGGTCAAGTTATTTACCCTCTCTGTCCTTTATTTTACTCACATGTAACATTAAATGAATATTGTAGTACCCATACGGGTTGTTGTGGTAATTAAATGATGTAGTGCAATTAGATGCTTACCACAATGCAGAAAGAAAGTAGTTAGCTTGTGCATTTATTTGCTTATTTTTTATTTTTCTTTTCTCTTTGGAATGTAACCTCCAGGAGATATTGGAACTTGTCTCCTTGTTCATTGCTGTATCCCAAGCACCTAGAACAATACCTGTAATATTCTAGGAGCCCAGTGCATATTTGCAGACTATCTGTTACATGGATATATTGATAAATGGCATGTGAGTTAGTCATAGCATCTTCAAGCCACTGCAGGCCTGTCAATTTTCTTTTTACTTTAAAAAAAAAATTTATTTCCATGGGATTTGGGGGCAACAAGTGGTATTTGGTTATATGAGTAAGTTATTTAATAGTGATTTGTGAGATTTTGGTGTACCCATCACCCGAGCAGTATACACAGAACCCAATTTGTAGTCTTTTATCCCTCACCGCCTTCCCACCCTTTCCCTCTGAGTCCCCAAAGTCCATTGTATCATTCTTATGCCTTTGCGTCCTCATAGCTTAGCTCCCACTTATGAGTGAGAAAATATGATGGTTGGTTTTCCATTCCTGAGTTACTTCACTTAGAATACTAGTCTCTAGTTCCATCCAAGTTACTGCAAATGCCATTAATTCATTCCTTTTTATGGCTGAGTAGTATTCCATTGTGTGTGTGTGTGTGTGTGTGTGTGTGTGTGTATATATATATGTGTGTGTGTATATATATATATATATATATATATATACACCACAATTCTTTATCCACTCTTTGATTGGTGGGCATATGGGGTGGTTTCATATTTTTACAATTGCGAATTGTGCTGCTATAAACATGCGTGTGCAAGTATCTTTTTCGTATAATGACTTCTTTTCCTCTGGGTAGATACCCAGTAGCGGGATCGCTGGATCAAATGGTAGTTCTACTGTTAGTTCTTAAAGGAATCTCCACACTGTTTTCCATAGTGATTGTACTAGTTTACATTCCCACCAGCCATGTAGAAGTGTTCCCTTTTCACTGCATCCATACCAACATCTATTATTTTTGATTTTTTATTATGGCCATTCTTGCCGGAGTAAAGGTGGTATCACATTGTAGTTTTGATGTGCATTTCTCTGATCATTAGTGCTGCTGAGCAATTTTGCAAATGTTTGTTCAGCTCTGCCAATTTTCTACAGAAGTAGAAGTACTCTATCTTCCTGGTATGGTCCCACACATAGTAGATACTCAACAAATATTGGCGTCTTGTCCTTCCCATTGTCAGCCACAAGGTCTTGCATGAGAATGAAACCCTTTGGCAATATCCGTTTTGGAGTTTGGTGACAGTGACAAATATGAGTACAATTATCAGTAACTGCAATCTCCGTTTCAGACATGCACATATACAGACTTGCAATGAACAATGACAGTCATAACAACTATTTCAAAACAACTCAAGCAAAGCAACTTCCTAGTTATCACTCATATCTCAACAGATATTAGAATCCAAATCTTTGTAGAGTTTCTATCCTCAAGCAGAAATTCATATTTTACAGTCACTGACATCATGATATAACAAATAGAGCTTGACATTTTCAATATGAGAAATTTATCGTGACTACTTTTTTCTGCAGAAGAAATTTTTAAAGCATCTCAAGTAAAGAGAGGATTATATGCCAAATTTTTTTTTTTTTTTTTTTTTTTGGTTCAAGGGCTATTTTTTACAAATAGAGTTTGGGGAACATTGCTAAATTCATCAAAGTTTGAACTTATTTTTGCTCAAGCTAACTGGAAATCTAGTGTATAGGAAAGAGTATTGAACAGTAGATAAGGAGGCTAGGTTTTACCCATCAGTTTGCCCCTACCTGACTGTGTGGCCTTGAACAATGACTATCCTTCTCATTACAGGTGGAAGGGGACTATAGCAGGTGGTCTCCAAAGTCTCTGGAGACTTAACTAATGTGGTAATACTAACTTAAGAGCTGTGGCGGTAGGTGAAACGGGCTTTGAAAGCAAAGCGGTGCTTTGTTCCATTGCCTTGATGTCTTGGTTTTGTTTCAAATACACCATTTGATTTGTTTTAAAAGACTGCAAAAATCTCTAAAAAGGTTTGCTATGCTAAAAAGGATGTGAAATGTGTTATTTCTATGGTAGGGAAGGGGTACAAGAAGTGGTAGGTGGTGGGAGAAGATGGTGGCAGGATGGTTTTAAAAGGGTCTCGTGAAACAGGATGTGGATACCAGCTGTGTGATATTAAACAAATTCCTTCACCTCTCTCCCCATCTTCCAGCATCCTCATCTCTGTTGTAAGGATAATAGCCTTCCTCCAAACCTCACACACTTTTGGAGGAGCTCACTTTAAAAAAAAAAAAAAAAAAGCATGGAAATGTTTTGAAACAGTGAAATCTATAATGATAGGTTTCATAATTCTAACATCCACACCATCTGGTAAGGACAAATAACACTAGGTGACATGAATCGTATTCATAATTCAAATGTACAAAAAAATATAAACTTTCTACCACTAAACTTAATGTCTATTTTAAGCCTAGAAACTCAATCTCAGTCACTCTTGTGTTTCCTTCCTATGGAATACTGGGGGTTCACAGAGTCTCAGGGTGTAGATGTGGTAGGAGTCGCCTGGTTGCCAGGGTCATCTCTCCACACAGATGTCTGCTGGGGCGTCCACTTGCCCTCAGTTGTTGATCCACACAGGCTGCAAGTGACATCCTTTCTTTCTGTCCAACTGGCGCGTTTAGGCTCCACCCCCTCCCTGCTGTGTCTATGGTTCCTTGGAGGTGCACAGGCTCCCGTGAGGCTATCTACAGCCCCTCTTCCCATATTCTCTCTGAAGGCCCTCTGGGGTCTTCCTGTCCCTGGGCTCAGTCAGCTTTTCTCATCTGTCACTTCGTTCTAAGATCATCTCTAGGGCTAGCCAGGTATTAACAGGAAGGAAACACCTGTCCTCTGCTGTTTGGCCTCCCCACCCAGTCTGGGGAAATCCCTTCCAGTCCTCGAAGGAGCCGTGCTTCCCTTATAATATCCTTCTTCCCAAACATTTTGTTTTTCCTCAAAGCCCCGACAATTTCCCCTGAGGCCTGAGGTTTGGCTTGCTCACACTTCTCTCTCCCCTGCTTCCCACAGAATCACATCCTTCCTGAGATAATGAGCACACAATTGCCTGGATACCTGAAGGAATGGAGACAGCAGCACAAAACACTGCAGAGAGGTGGAATATTTTAAAATCCCATTACTGCTACCAACAATAATAATGGATGCATAGAAATAGATCTGGATTCGCTGAGCTTGAAACAGTCTATCTCACTCACACACAAAATAATTTCAGGTAATGAGGAAAAGAAAAGGAAAAAAAAATAACACATGGCCTCTGTAACTTGATTGCCTTTGAACCTTATTGGGTTTGTGGCAAACAGGGTGATTTTGGCACATGAGTCTCCTACCACTCACGTGCCTCTGAGCTCTCCTCTGAGGCCAGTCAGTGCCCAGAAGGGATGCATCTGTCTTAGCCCCTGGGTCAGCATTTTGGGTGCCAGCATTTGATACACCTGCTACAGTTGCTGATGAGAAAGTAGTCACCCTCCTCCACTCCACCCCTGCTGCCCAGGCCCTGCCACTCCTGCTAACCTGTCAAGCTACATTTTCAATTACTGGCTTTGAAAAATGTCCAGGTAGACTTATTAAATCAATGAATGCGATGAGCTGAACACAAGGCAATGGCAATTCTGTGGCCTCCCTTGGGATAACTGGAGAGTGCATGGGGTGTTGAAAATCCAAGCCTGAAAAATCATTGCTTTGAAGAAAGGGAGGACAACGACCAAACTATTTCTTCCATTAAAATGCATGACATTTAAATAATGTCCCCGTTCTTCTCAGTGCCCATCAACCTTCGTTTTTTTATGCACTGAAAAGTCTAAATATTTATTAACTTCAATTCATAGGATTTATTATAGCTGCATTCAACTGGGGCACATACACATTTTTTAACTACACGGCACTTTTTAAATAGCATCATTTAAAAATAATTAGGAAATAATTGCGATTGTATTCTAAAGATGTAAGATACCACCTAGTTTTAAAAAGTAACCAGAAAGAGTGTTCTTAAAGGAGCACCCATAATCAACAAGTTCACATTAGTTTGATCAGCTAGATACAGCTGGCATTTATTTCACATAGAAAAACAGTTCGCATGTGCGGAATCACCATCTGGACTCACTAAACTGCCCAGTGTTGTCAGAGGGAAAAAATAGGCTGGTTAGAAAGTCAGCTTGTGACTAACCACGTTCCAGACCACCTGGCCTTGCTCTGCTATGAGGTCAAAAGGCTGGTTTTGTGTTATCGTGGAAAGAGGTGAGATCCCAGCCAGACACTTGCCGCCTGCAAGGTCACCCAGGCGCCACCTTTTAGGATGGCTAGAGGAGATGTCAGGGATTGAAGGGGGTGGCGAGGAGGAGCTTTGTCCATCATCTCTATAAGCCACTCTCCCTCATTGTTAACACAGACAATCGGAATTGCCATTTTCTCTGTTTTATCTGAAGTGCTATGAAACACCGCTTCAGCTTGCTCCTTCCAACAGATCCCTACATAGATGCTCTGGAACGGCCTCTTTGTGTTTATTAATGGAAATTTCCCACAATAACTGCAAGTGACTAAAAAGATGCTGTGTCTTTCATCCCTGTCTCTGTCATCATCATGCTTTCTTAACTAACATAATTTTTGAGAAATATTGGGAAAATGCCAACAAAGAAATATAATTTGAAATTCCACCATCCAGAGAAAATCACTTTTCCTAGGGAATAGAGACATCTTCCAACTTATGCAATTTATGCAATCATCAGTTTTTCAAAGGTCTTAAGCAAGTCATATTTCATATACATTGAAATGCTTTCGATTTGCTTCTGCGGCTTTTTGTATCACCATTCATGGTGTTACCGTTCCTTTTAAAAATGATTTAAAAAAAAAAAAAAGACAAGGTCTTTAAAATTATTGAGCCACCCGTGTCTAGCCACCAACTTTGTACTAGGGGTGGTGGATCTTTCCCTTTACTCCTTCAAATACACTCCTAGCCTCTGTCCTTATCAGCACTCTCCAGTTGTGATTAGAAGGCAGTAAAGGGGAAATGACACAAACAACATGGAATTAGCGTGGCTGACACACAGAGATCACAGCAGGTGACGGAGACAGGTGGGGACACAGTGAGGAGCATGGGAAAGGGGCTGTGGGGCTCTGAAATGTATTTCCTGCGTTTAGCCTTGCACTGGATGTGCAAGTGTCCACATCTCTAAAATTAAATTATGTACCTTATGGAGCAATTTGCATAAAATGAATTCATATCTGTTGTGTGTTTCATAACCTGCGGTACATCTGTACATTTATAGATTTTAAAAAATAGTATATATCCTGCTTTGTAACATGTTTTTTATTGTTGGCACATGCCTCTTTATGTCCATAAATAAATACAGACATCATAATTGCCGATGACTACAAAACTATCTGCTGTGTGTATCTGTAAGAATTATTTAAACAGTTTTCAGTGAGTGGATCTCCTGGTTGTTTCCAGTTCGGCTTATAATAATGGACGCCTCTGGTTCCCGGGGTTGTGTTCTTTGACCTGCCTCTGGTTTCAGCCATAGCTGCAATGAACATTGTCATGAGAGCTCAGCCTCACCTGGTACTGACAGCCCCACATGGAAAAGCCAGCACAGCGGCTTTTCCCTTTTCCGATGCTAAAGAGCCTTGAGGCAAAGCGGAGTCCCACACCCACCCCCCACCCCCCACCCCCACCCCCGCTACAAATAACCTTCAACCAGTGGGGACAGAACTGGTGAATAAATGCTTCAGGAGACCTTGTGAGTGTTGTGCAAGAGGGCGCTGTGGATTTGAGTTCCGGCAGCCCAAGGCATCAGCGTCACTACGTTTGCTTTTCCCTCTTCCCTACTGTCTCCCTCTTGCTTCCCAGGATCATCTTGGAAATAAACTACCTGTATCCAGACAAGTCCTAATCTCTCCTGTTCTGAGCCAAGATGGGGACTATGATAAACAATGATATGGACAATATCCTCGAATACACATCTCTGCCATGGATCTAGTTATTTCCTTAAGACAAATCTCTAGAAATGTTCGCTGCTGATTTAGTTATTTCCTTAAGATAAATCTCTAGAAGTGTTCATTGCTGAGTCAAAGGGCATGGACTTTTAAAAACAAGCTCAAACAAGTGCTCTGTTTAACAGAGCTCCTAACTGTAAGGCAATTGATTTTGTTTTATTTGCCTTTGCCTATTCAATCCCAGAGCTATCATGAAGCTGTCTTCCAACAAGAAGCAAAGCATTGATACTAACTTCCTGTAGTCTTTTAAGCCACCCTCTCCAGAGACCCCAGAAATCCCTCCCCTTTGCTGTCCTGCAAACACGATGAATGGAATAATTGGAATGCACACCCACTGTCTCCCAAATAGACAGCTCACTTTATCATCTGGTAGTTATTAAGAATGAGTAGTAATGTTGCTGTAGAAAAGACTACTTATAGGGAAAGTAAGAAATGAGAGAAACATTCACTTATAATTTAATCCACAAGGAATTAAAACCAACCAGAAGATAAAATGTCTGTTTCTCAATCAGTTCAATCCTTATATCACTAGTAGCACTAGAGCTCTTAATTATAGATAGCAAAGTCTCTGGATGTTATTTTTTAGCCAACATCAGTCGTAAGAGATGCATAAGGAACTGCTCAGAGTAGTACAGAAGGAACTCTAATGCGCAGGCGCTTCGGTGGGGCAGCAGCACATGTGCGTGATCTCGCTAAAGAGGGGACCCAGAAAGGGTGTCAGCTCCAAATATGGATTAGCCACAGCCTGTCCACGAGGGGGAATGGTGAGCATATGTTTGCAAGTATAATTTACAGAAACATATATGTGATTATTTTTTAAAATAAGTGAACTATTTACAAATCTTCGCCAATGAACCTTTGTGACATCTCCTTTCAGGAAGTCTAATTTTAAAAGGTATATAAAACCGTTCTCCGGGCCAACACTTGCAGGTTCTGCCTGCTTGGATGGCTTCCCAAAAAAAGGAAAAAACAAACAAAACCAACCTTCCTTGGCTGTGTTTGCCATCAACATCAATAACTGCAGCAAAGGCATTCTGACTGCTGTTTATTCTGTCATAATTACTATCACCAAACTCGCATGATTACAGTGTTAGTAATTTTGTTGATTATAAATAGCACTAATGCTATAATACATTAGCAAAGACACAGCATTATGGACACACGGTCCATACTCACTTGGAGAGTTGCACCTTTGAGGATGATTGTTTAAATCATCCTGGAAAGCATTATCCTTACATGGCCTTGGTTTCCAATCACTCCACTGAAGGTTTTCTTTAAACACTACCACCGTTCTCCCTGCTCTATTTCTGTGGCCTTCTCAGATGTCCTTCACACGGTCTAGGCTGTGCTTTGTATTCAAAAGAGAATCCCTTGATAGTATATGGACCCAGTAATGTCCTAGTTTCTTGAATTTGCTAAAAGCAGGGGCATTAGATTGTGAAAGCCCACTAGAGCCATTTCTATTTTAACATCTTCCTTTTGGCAAGAGTCCTATTGAGTGAATTCGTATAGTCTTGGGCCCTCCCTGTTTATTTAAAGATTTTCTTTTCTGAGGGAGGAGGACAAAGGGCACAATTAAGACTTTACTCAAAACACCCACACATCATAGAGGGAATCTACATTTACTGTTTAATTTTAGTTTTCAGAATTTATTACAAAGAGTCACCTGGATAAGAGAAATCCCCCCACAGAACAATGTCTTTCTGCCTTCCCCAAAGCACACTCCCTTTTCTGAGGAGTGATGCTTTCACTTAAAATGGTGTGTATTGATTAAAGCCAACATATTTCCTGTTTCTCAGCTGTCTGTCGGGTTCTTGGGAGCTTTTTTTTTTTTTTTTTTTTTAACATAAACCTTTCTTTATTGATTCAGAACTAGAAAACATTTTAATGTAGTGGTAACATTTAGTCACAATGGGGAGTGTGCTTTTGGCAATTCCCTGGTTCATGGCATGAATGTCTGTGTATGTATGTGTGTATAGAAATTCATTAGACTCATTTGAAGGTGGTTTTTTAAAAAAAACACTAAAATATGTAAATATCCTGATGATTGAGAATACAGGTTGATATTTTATAATGTCATTTTCTGTTCGCATTCAGATACAGTTAACCCACATGTTGAAGTTTTCTAGTATAATAACAATTTCAACTGTTCTGTTGAATCATCTGTCCTGATTGGAGGCTACAGAAAAGATGTCATCTTAGGTAAGGACTGAAGGGTAAATGACTGTAAAACATGATTTAATAAGACACTGAATGTAAGAAAACCTTAGCCCAACTTTTACTTCAAAATTTCTATTGATTTGTTATATCAGGAAGAGTCTTAGAACAATTCTTTCGATTGTCCTCTAAATTTATTTCAAGTTAAATTCGTGTTCTCTCGAATCTTCTCACCATTCTCAGGCTATATGTAGACACCAAATGGATGCAAATAATGAAACATATTCTGTAACTAGCTGCCTTGTGTAGACCCAACTTAAAAGAAACAAAAAAAAAAAAGATGGATTTTTGGTACTGTGCTTTTATTTTTAAAGGATAAAAAGAATTCAGCCCCACTGTGGAACTTATCTGTAACATGAATTAATCTTCTTGACAAATAAAGTCAGTCCTCCTATTTTACTTGACCCTTCCCCAAAAGGAATATATAGCCTCCCAGATTACTACTGAACATTGTGAGTAGCAACAAACTTCAGATCCTTGCATATCTTAGTCTGTGTTGCAATAAAGTAAGCTTGTCCAGCTTGCGGCCCATGGGACTCATGAAGCTCAGGACAGCTTTGAATTCTACCTAGCACAAATTTGTAAACTTTCTCAAAACATTATGAGATTTTTTTTTTTTTTTTTTTTTTTGCAATTTTTTTTCGCTTATCAGCTATCATTCGTGTATTTTATGTGTGGCCCAGGGAAGCCAAAAGATTGGAAACCCTTGAGAATACCCGAGGCCAGCTAATTTCTAAAGAAAACGGGTTTATTTGGCTTGCAGCTGTGTAGGCTGTACAAGAAGCATGGTGCTAGCATCTGCTTCCAGTAAGAGCTTCAGGAAGCTTCCAGTCATGGCAGAAGGGGAAGGGGAGCCAGTGTGTTACGTGGTGAGAGCAGAAGCGAGAAAGTTAGGAGAGAAGTGCCAGACTCTTTTCAATAACCAGATCTCACAGGAACTAAGAGTGAGAACTTAATCATGAGAAGGCCACTAAGCCATTCATGAGGGATCCATCCCATTGGCCCAAACACTTCCTACCAGACCCTACCTCCAACTTTGGGGATCCATTTTCAACATCAGATTTGGAGGGGACAAATACCCAAACTATATCATTGCAATGATTGTGACAAACATCAAGTGGAGAGAGTCTGACTTCATTTTCTTATAACTACTTTACATGAAAAGTCCTTTTATGAGGCCCAGAAATTTCTATGAAAAGTAAAACATACCCAGTGGCTCAAATGGCTGTGTGGGATTTTATGTTGAGGTATACCAGACCATGACATATTTCATATTTACTCTGATTTCATATTTACTGTAATTTCATATTTACTCTGATTGAAGATCTCATGACTTGACATAAGGATATTATATAGATTCAAATACTTTCAGAATTCTTATATGTTCCCAGAGAGAATGGGCAAAAAGCCTTCAGTTAGAGTCACATATTGCTTACTTTTTTTTCTTTTTAATTCTAGGACTGCTTGCTCCGAGTGAGGCTCATCTTCAAATCTGAATGACCACAAGGAGATTTGATTATACATGTGAACACCTCAGAAGGCACAGCCCGCCCAGAAGGCAGACAGGTCAGGCTGCTTTTTCTTCATTGGTTGGATTCAATCCTCTGGCGGCTCAGACATAACTTAAGCATGATTAAACTTTAGAAGAAGCTGCCAGGAAGACTGTGAAATCTTCATGCCCAAGGATCCCTAAAATTAGGAACGACAACCACTTGGCTCAGACAGTTTATGGAGGCAAAGGTTTGGATGGGATTAGAGATTTCTAAATGTGAGTTCGTGTCCTCTGCCAGACCACCTTACTTCCACCATTCCTCAACAAATCAAGAAAAACAGGAGTAAAGACATGCCTTTCCATAAGTTAAATCTATTGTTTTAATTCTATATTATATCTGCAGTACAACTTCTTTTGTTTGTAACACCATATTGTTGCTAGTAGCTGGAAATTAATTTTCACATGCCTCAGCTTAGAAAAATAAAAAGCAGCCCCGCATCAATCCCAATTTCCTTTTTAGTTTTAATGAGCCTTGAAATCCGAAATTCTGGAAACCATTGGTCTAGATAATCTTCGTTCAACAAATATTCATTCAGCTGCCTGTTCTTATGTCATACAAAGGGAAAATCACTTTTTCCACAGGATTATTAAAATAATTAAATGAACTAATATTCATTGCACATGGCACCATGTTAAGCGCTTTACATATGCAAATTATTTTATTTAATTCTTGCAAAAACCCTAAGACAAAGACAACCAACAAAAAGCATGGAAGGTGGGATTCGTGCCAGGTCACCTCTGGCATAGGCTCCCATAATTAACCTAGTGTTTACTCTCCTCAGAAAATGACTGGTGTCTCCAGGGAGGTGGCATGATAGCAGAAACACATATTAAACGTTTTAATGTTTTGCTTTTTTCATGAAACCAAAGCTTGAGTGGTGGAATGGCTGGGCACAGTGATGAAAACAAACAAAAGGTGGACGATAGAAACATCCGTGGAATTTGTTGATGTGTGAAACACCTTCAATCAGTCAGAATTCAGAGTTAATCAGAGACCACTTGTTCAGAGGCCTAATCTTTCTGGCTCAGCAAGCCAATCATATTCCCTCTGTTTCACATGATGTCTGTTTTCCGCTCCCTGATTTGTGACAGCGATTCTGCATGTGCTGAAGAACTACAGGATATAAACAGGAATTAACAGCTAGACAACTAGCTATTGGCGATGGCTAATTATAGAATGGAAAAAAAATAATACTTTGCTTTGATTGAGCCACTTCAATCTGAATTTTGAATTCAAAATCAAGGGTAGGAATGTTATATACCAAGGCCTCTTGGAGCTACCATCCTTAAAACACTAAGCCCCAAACTAAGTAAGCTGATACTATTTTTCACAGGTAGAATGAGAACCTCTCCTGCACATGAAAATTACTTTTTGCTCTTTTTATACAGAAACAGGACAGGGATCAGAAAGCCACTTTGGTTTAGGCACAACAAGGGGAGAAAATAACCTTTCAGTTATCAGAGTTAGTTCTCCCCCATTAGAGCGGAGTGATTACCCTGAAGATAGTCAATTAGCTCTTGCTATGGACTGAGTTGTGATTTTCCCTGCTACCAAAAAAAAAATCATATGTGGAAGCCCTAATGCGTAATGTGATGCTATTTGGAGATGTGGCCTTTGGAGATCATTAGATTTAGATAAGGTCATGACAGTGGGTCCCTCATGATGGAATTAGTTTCCTTATAGGAGGAGACAGACACTAGGGCTCACCGGCTCGTCCTCTCACTCCTACACATGTGAGAAGGCAGCCAGCTAACCCTTAAGCCAGGAAGAGGGCTCTCATCAGAACTTGGCCATGGTGGCATCCAGATCTTGAACCTCCAGACTCCAGGACTGTGAGAAAATAAGTGTGCTGTTTAAACTACCCAGTCTGTGGTGTTTCGTTGCGGCAGCTGCATAGCAAACACTCCCTGTGCAAAATGAGCAGCAAATCTGTTCTCTCTTTTGAGTGCTCCTCTCCCACTGAACCGGCTCGTGCTGCAGGCCACACAGGACAGGAGCAATGATGCTCCTTGCTTGACCAAACTTTGGACTGTGAGCCAGTAACTCAATTGCAATGGAAAGGAGTTATAACCAGTACTTTTTATCTGCGGTTTGAAAAAGAAAAAGAAGCTTGACCCCAGGATACCTGAGTTTTTGAGGAGCGGAGTGGGGGAAAGGTCTGCATTCATGAGGCGCTGGATGCCTGTTCCAATTCTGACCCAGTGGATAGAGAGCTGCAGCTCAGCCGGTCAAGCAAGGAGCATCATCCCTCCTGTCTGGTGTGGCCTGCAGCACGGGACGGTTCAGTGGGAGGGGAGCAATCAAAAGAGAGATAACATATTTGCTGCTCATTTTGCATAGGGAGTCCTAAGGTGTTTTGCTTTTTCAATCAGAGAAAAAGAGAAGATATGTCCCTTTAGTTTATTGAGTTGTTATAATAGATAGAAATAAAGAAACAAAATGGCCTCTTTTTATATGAAAATTATCAATTCTGAGCCCTAGAAGTTCTCTTAGAGAGCCAGTATGGCATGATGCTTAAGAACAGGGGCCTGGTACCTCATCACCTGGCGAGGCGCTCCAGCCCTGCCAATTTGCCAGCGGAGTAACATTAAGCAAATTCCCTTATCTTCACGTGCCTCATCTGTCAAATGGATGTAATGATAATACCTTCTTTCAGGCGTTCTGGTATTAAGCATAAATAATTGAGAACTGCACCTTTCACAAAAGAATTTCTTGTTATCAGTTTTGGCCTGGATATTTTATAGAACAGGTTACCAAGACTCAGAAGTAAATTCCAAGAGGTTACAAAGCAACACAGTATCATTATTATTGCACACCATGTTAGGCTGACCAGCTGACCCTGATTTCCCAGGACTAGCCCCAGTTTTAGCATTGAAAGTCCTGCATTCTGGGAAAACTGGGAGGGTCACCCTACAATGATGAAGATAAAGTCACATGAAGTGGAATCAGCTGAATGAGACCCCAACCACAGCAGAGATATTCATTTGGAAGGGAGCAATGTCACTATGGAAGATACGACTCCAAATGCAGGCACCTGGTGTGAGACTGTGATAACAGTTAAGAAAGCATGTGTCGAGTTATGTGGGCCTATATACAACAAAGGTTCTCTAGAAATGTATTAGTTTGGTGTCAGGAATTTTCCAGACATGCCTTCTATCCTCTGGGGGAATTCCAGCAGTGCAGATGTGGTCTTTATGAACCTGGTCTCATAAGCTGCAGGTCTGTCCTGATATTTACAGAATAAAATTTTGACTAATCATCTAAGATTGCATTTGCAGAGCGTTTATCTCAAAGGAGCTCGGCGTTCTTGGCAGTCATTATTTAATTAATCCTCACACTGCCTCTGTGTGACACAGAGCAGGCAGGTGTAATTATCTCCGTTTTGCAGATTACATGACTTGGAGTTATGCCTGGTTATAAGGTGCCTTGGAAAGAGATGTTCCACTGTGATAACAGGTTTGATTTGGTTCTTATTCTTTCCAGTGAGTCTTAGACTCGATTTGACTCGAGAACCCTAAATGAACACCATAAATGGTATTCTCCACATCCATAGTTCATCTTTCTTTGCCTGTCACCTGATATATTTGGTCACCACGTTAAACAGCTTGTGTCTAACAGGCGAGAAATTCAGCCGTGACACTGTGATCATTAGGTCAGGCCTCCAGAGGTCAGAATCAGCACTCATTCCACTCCCTGCACTAAAGATATTCATGCTATGCCTTTTTCTAAACTGCAGAGATCTTTACTGACGAAGTAATAGATGAATAAATGAGAGATGTCGTAAAACTCAATCCACACCATTGCCTCAAGAGCTGTAAATCCAAACAGGAATATGATAAATGAGAGAATAGACATTGATTTCCCCATCAGAAGAGATGGGCTGAAAAAATGGTGACAAGAATAATGAGGTGACAAGAAAAATGAGATGACAAGAATAGCCAAAATACATTGAATTCTTAGGATACACCGAGCCCCATTCTAAGCATTTTATATGTATAAATTCATTGAATGCTCCCCAATATGTTAGGAATTCATATTTCAGATAAGGAAACTGAGGCACAGAGAAGTTAATTTGCTAAAGGTTACAGAGCTAACAAGTATCAGAGCTGGGATTTGAACCCAGGCATGTTGGCTTCAGTGATCTTGAACTTAACCACTATGCTGTAGAGAAGGCAAAAATAAAATACTTAATCATCATCAGAGACATCTGGACTCCCATGTTCATTGCAGCACTGTTCCCAATAGCTACGATATGGAAGCTACCTGAATGTCCATTGATGATGAATGGATAAAGAAGATGTGGTGTATATACACAATGGAATATTACTGAGCCTTAAAACAACAAGGGAATCCTGTCATCCAAGACAACGTGGATGAGTGTGAAGGACGTGCTAAGTGAAATAAGCCACATACAGAAAGAAAAATACTAGATGATCTCATTTCTATAGAATAAAAAAGTCAAACTCATAGAAGCAGAGAGTGGAATAATAGTTGCCAGGGGGAATGGGGCAGGGGTGGAAAGATGGGGTCAAAGGGCTCAACATTTTAGGCAGGTTAAAGAAGTTCTGGAGCTCTGACATACAGCATGGCAACTATAGTTACTGTATTCTATACTAGAAATTTGCTAAGAGAGCAGATCTTACATGTTCTCACCACACACACAAAGGTAAGTAACTGTGGGAGGTGATGGATATATTAATTAGGTTGATTGTGGTAACCATTTTGTAATGTATACATATGTGAAAACATCACGTATGCCTTAAACACACAATTATTTGTCAATTATACCTCAATAAAGCTGGAAAAAACAAAACACTTGAAAACATAATTTCCTCTTTATTAAATGAAACTCACATCCTGCCTAAATGACAAACCCAACAGTCTCTCATCCTTTGGTGCTCACCTGCTCTGACTGGTGGAGGTGAAAGTCTCATCTAACCTGAGACCAGGAGGACTGACCCTACTGGGCACAGCAGCATGTTTGGCAATTAGAGGTCTTTTGTTTGTTTGTTTGTTTGTTTTGTTTTGTTTTGTTTTTGCTTTACCTAGTTTTCCAACATGTCATTCAGGCTAATTGGAAATCAACATACTTCTTCAATGCCAATGCCTCCAAATTTTTTTTTTTTTTTTTTTTTTTTGATACAGAGTCTTGCTCTGCTGCCAAGCTGGAGTGCAGTGGTGCGATCTTGGCTCACTGCAACCTCCGCCTTCTGGGTTCAGGAGAGTCTCCTGCTTCAGCCTCCGGAGTAGCTGGGACTATAAGCATGCGCCACCATGCCCAGCTAACTTTTGTATTTTTTTTTTTTTAATAGAGATGGGGTTTCACCATGTTGGGCAGAATGGTCTCAATCTCTTGACCTCGTGATCTGCCCACCTCAGCCTCCCAAAGTGCAGGGATGACAGGAGTGAGCCTCTGCGCCCGGCCCAAAGTTTATTATGTTTTGCTCACAGGGACACAAGCTTATCGTTTATTAAAACCACAGCTACAGCACCTCGGTTTGTCCATGATGCAAGTCAGGGGGAGGTGGGAGGCTAGTTCAGAGAGAAGAAAATATTTTGGAAGTGCTCAGATCGTAAAGAGAAAAGTCTGTTTCATTCGGAACATTTTGAAAACAGTTCCGAAGGTTCACAGCTGTCGCTCATGAGTCCCAGGTACACTCCAGGCTCAGGTCACCCCTACATGCATTTGCATCTCAGGGTCCAGGGCCTCATGAGCACAATGCACTGACAGATAACGAGAAGTGCACTGACATAAGCTCGTGCTCTGACAATCCTAAAATGTTACAGGGCGGTGGCCTTATCAGTGGTGGTCTTAAGTCAAGCCCCATAGGCAATTCTAATCAGTAGATGCTTTTATGAAACTTTAGAAGTTGCTTCTACTCTGCTGGGCAGTAACTTAGCACATTTCCACTTTAGCTTTACCTTTGGAACAAGCCAACGTAAGCTGGCATATCAATTGCCAATTTGGATATTACTCTCAGGCAGCAAAAAAAAAAAAAAACAATTGAGTGTTACCAACCTCCAATCTTATTTACGCTACCTTCACCTGCCTCAGGTTCCCTAGTGATTCTCCCACCTGCAACATATCCACCGATCTCACCCTTATGGCAGATCTCTCCCTAGACACAGGATCCTCCTGTCCTGACACAGAGCTCCTCTTCTTCCTGAGACTCTGCACAGGACTGAGATACTTCCAGAAGCTGCCCACATCCCCATGGAATGCAGCAATTCCTCTGGGATCCTGGGGTCTTACCTTTCCCAAGGCCTGAAGTTAGTCATTCATTCAGCACTTGTTTGCCTGTGCCATGCATTGTTGTAGGGATTGGAGATACTGCCGTGAACAACATAGACGAAGTCCTTGCTTCCTACAGGCAAAAGGGAGATGGGCAATAAACAAAGTAAACAGGAAGTGAAGACTGCTGTAAAGAAACATCAAGCAGGGGAAGGAGATAGAGAGTGATGGAGATTGTGGGATTGGGGGAAGTTTTACACCAAGCCCTAAATTGTTGGCTGGGATCCCATCACCTCAGAAGAAACACTGACCTCCCCTCCCTAATCCAGGTCGCAGTTTTTAGGACTGGCACAGTAAAAAATAAAATAAATTAAATTAAAAAAATAAAAATGCCAAGTCCCTAGTGAAAGAATTATTTAAAATTTCAAGATGGCGGCAGCAGAGCCTCAAACAAGCTCGGGGCCCTGTGCGCCCGCACACTGCCTCACCCATGATCCTGGTCCCGTCACACCTGCTGCCTTTGGAGGCCCTGCCTGAGACCCCACGGTGGGTTCAGCTCATCCCTCAGGGTGCCTGATGGCTTCGTTTGCTACCAGAGGTACTGCCTGTTTGTCCCTGAGATTGCTTGGCATTTGAACCCTGTGCCTGGGCCCCCCTTGCCCACCCTCCGTACCGACCTGCCAGAACCTCTCCTGGCAGCCAGGCCCACTCCCCAGGATTGCTCTACAGAGGGGCAGCTGCACTGGGGATCAGCAATTACCCCTGCTCCCTGCGCCCCCTGCCCCTCCTCTCAATACCCAGGCTTTGGCCCCGCCCCATTCCCCCCCTGCTGCTGCTTAGTCTTGTGATCAGCAGCAGGACTCCATCAAGGCGGAAAACTGATGCTGGTATCTGGCCTTGTGTTCAGAACCCCTGGGCATCTTCTTCTAAGCACCACTTAGGGAGAATGCTCAAGGGATCGGCCACAAGGAGAATATGGCTGCAGGGAAATAGCCAGCCTCTCCATTCAAGAAGCACAGATTACTCGTTTACCAAAATGTAGCTGTTGCAAAGATGTAAGTGGGAATCCTTAGCCAGTGGTTTAAGCCACGAGGCATTTCAGCACCCAGGTTTAAATGCCAGGTGCGTCCCTTCATCCTGGCTGCGGCGTGAGATGAAGGGGAGGATATAACTGAATATGTGTTGTCGAATCAGCTTCTGTGACAAGAGAGATAACAAATGTGACTTAGAAGGTGAAAGGAATAGGCCTTGCAAATAGGACGCAGCGTGGCGCTTTCTTCCGTGGATGGAACGCAGAGCCGAGTCACGTGGAGAGCATCCGGCTTGGTAAGCTGCTTTAGTGCATAGGAATGAAGGCGCGCGATAAGGACTCAAGCCTGGTACTCATTATTGTATGTCTAGGAAGAAGAGAACTGATACCCTTTCTAGTCTGGTAATGAAGGGGATTAAAAATGTGCTTTCAGAACTGTGTGGGCCCCTTTTTATTTTCTCTGGCCGTAGCAAAGAATATTCATTAACCCGGACCCATCTTTCCACCACATAAAAACTATGGGAAAAATATTTCTTAATATTTTAAACTGATACGACAAGCCTATTAAGCTAATCTGAGATGGTGGCCTATTATTTTGATAAAAGAAAATATGAAAGCATGCAACAGATCCTTAAACACACCTTTACCCAAGGGCATGGTTTCTCTCAGAATCAAGACAAGAGTCAACGCGGGAAGTGTAAGCTTGAAACCGTGGCGTGGATTCCTCCCAAAGGAGAAAATGGTGAGAGGATGATGCCAGCTGCGCCGCGGGAAAAAGAGTGGCCATGCGCTGGCCTGGCCCCTGCAGCCGCGCTCAGTTCCCTAATTCTATGTTCCTTCCTTCTCTCCATTTTCCTGTTCTGTTCTGTTTTTGTTTTGTGTATCTTGGCCACTTCTGGCTATGGTGTCCTTGACCTCGAATTTCTCTCGGTGTCCAATTTCATCTGTCTGGTTTTAGATTCCTTTCTGGGTGTAAGGGTCCCCCGGGCTTCTGCCCTGATCATCTGCAGCCTTCAGAGCCATCCAGCTCTGGAGCTGAGCGTTCCTGGACAGCGTTGCCCAGAGCAGTGGGTTTCTATCTTTCCGGCAGGCAGCTCTGTTCCTTACCCCCTCCTCCTCTCCTCCTTCCTGCTTTGTTTGTGACTTGTCTGCTACCTCAGGTTCAGCTGCTACTAGACAAATAGAGTTCATGGATAAATGTCATTGAACAAAAGCAGACACATTATTGGCTACTTTCCTGTCTCAGCCTTTCTAAATAGTGATTTTTAAAAACAGCCTGGATTCTATGAGCAATATAAGTAGAAGTGTCTTGAAAACTGTAAAGCGCTGTGAAAACATTACCTATCATGTTCCATCTGAAGGAACCCTTCTGTAATGGCAGGTAGAAATGAAGCTTTCACAATAGGTATACATACTCACTTCAGGGTTTTGTTTTTGTTTTTCAAAAATACTCTTAAAATTCCACTGCCACTTAATATTTGAAAGTTCCCCTTATCCATATTTGAATCATAGCTGTCTTAAAGAATTCTATTCACAGCACATGCCTATTGTATGAAATTACAAATTACCCTGGAGTCCTGATAATCCCTGACAGGCAAAGCTATGTGCTAACTAGAACTTTTCAGCCTTCTGGTAAAAAAAAAAAAATCTTCTCGAGGATAATGTCTACTGGTACCCAAAAGGGAGCCGTGATGCAGAGTCTCAGGGCATGTATGCAGGGAAACATATCTGTGAACCTTTAAAAACATCTCTCCAATACTCTGTTTCAATGATTTATCAATAACAAAATTTCCCAAATCTATTTGCTTATTCTGTCTTTATTGATCCAGAGTGATACATGATAACAACATAAGATTTAATTCTAAATCAAGGTTTATAGGCTCTTTAGTGATGGCATTAATTTGAAATAGGCCTATTATATCTAAAATACTTTATACGGTGCCCATGTTATTTATAGTCAATACCACATTGTTTGCTTAGCTTCTCCATGTTTATTCAACATTTTGTTAGACTCCTTTTTTTTTTTTTTTGAGACAGAGTTTCCCTCTGTCACCAGGCAGGAGTGCAATGGCACAATCTTGGCTCACTGCAACCTCCGTCTCCTGGGTTCAAGCAATTCTCCTGCCTCAGGTTCCCGAGTACCTAGGACTACAGGCACGTACCAACACACCCAGCTAATTTTTGTATTTTTAGTAGAGACAGGGTTTCACCATGTTGGCCAGGATGGTCTCAATCTCTTGACCTTGTGATCCACCCACCTCGGCCTCCCAAAGTGCTGGGATTACAGGCGTAAGCCACTGTGCCCGGGCTCGTTAGACTCTTATAAGTACTTTAGGAAGGTCTGAGTAGAACAAATTGAAAAATATTTGGGAGTGCAATTTCATGTACCTATGTTTTCTTAAATATGCAGTAAGAATTATTTTAAGAAGATATTCATAGCCTTACAAGTATGATGTGAGCTAACAACTGAAGTTATTGCTAATAGTTAAATCAGTAAATGCATTCAAAATTAGGTCACACTCAACGTTCAGCAGTTGGTGCTATGTTACCTTTGTATTTGGTATAAGATTTTTCACATCGCACTTAAGCTTGACATAAAATAAAAAGGTACATGTTAGAGAAAGAAGTCCACCAGATTTAATTGTCATTTGCAGCCCTAATTGCACATTAGAACCACCTGGGATGTTTCTAAAACTGTAAATACTCAGGCCCCATCTAAGACAAATTAATTCCAGTTCTCTAGGTCTGTGGTTCTCAAAGTGTGGGCCCTGGACCACGTACTTCAACATTACCTGGGAACTTGTTAGAAATGCAAATTCTCAGGCCTACCCAGGCCTACTGAATCAGAACTCTGGGGCTAGAGATGGAGATGGGAATGGGGATGAGGCCCAGCCACCTGTATCTAACAAGCTCTCCAGGTGAGTTTGATGTAGAGTTTGAGAATTGCTGCTGCTCTATCTACTTATATTTGTATTTTTTTTCACCTCCAATGATTAAAATATGCATCCAGGGTGGAGAATTATTAGGATAGTACTGCTCTATGACTTCAGAGCATAAAACAGGAAAGAAATTGCTGGAACAGGAAGGCACATGAAACTTCTAACTATAGGGACCTGCCTCCTGCAAATAGAGCTCTGTGAAGAAACTGGTCAGTAATAGCTTGCTGAGGTCATGCTTAATGAATGGAACAGATGTGGCCACCTCCTTTGATGGGACATTACCAATGGCCCTGGCACCTAAGACCTGCTTCTCCCAGTCAGGATGCAGGTGACAAGAATCACTAGTCAGAAGATGCTTGACTCAACTGTAGGGTTAGACATCTTCAAGGCCTGCCTCTTTAGAGAGCATTTTAGACCAGATAGATGAATTTGGAATTTCACATACGTAATAGTTTATATGAACCTCTACCTAATAAGTTTCATTGAAATAAATATTCCAAGTAATTATCTTTAAGAACATTCAGATAAATACATAATTATGACAAAGCAATAAATGCTTCCACTTCATCAAGCATCCAGATTGAATACAATAAATCATTTTCAACAATTATTTCAAAACTCATCGCCTCAGGAGTGAGTCTATAAGAGGCTGATAAGAGGCATGTGGAAAAATACTGATTTCAGTCAGTATTATAGTTAAGTTTTCTGCTATTAATTCCCCATACTAAATTCTTGGTAATTAAATGTATGTTTACAAAATGACCTATTTCATTTTCCCTATAGTTCAGTTGTTACAGTAAATGATAGTTAAAAGTTTACAAGTTCTACAAAAATAAATGAATGAATAAATGAGTAAATATATGTGTGTATAATGTATGTGTATCTATATATCTTCCTAGATGTCAAGAGAAATTTAAAATTATCTAGTATTTTTAAGCTTACTTGGGTACTTTAGGATTAAACGACTTTTCACTGAAATCACATTTTTCAGAAAGAAAGGAGGTCTTATATGTACACCCCGTAAAATATATTTCAAGAATTATTTAAAATAGGCTGGGCACGGTGGCTCATGCCTGTAATCTCAGCACTTTGGGAGGCTGAGGTGGGTGGATCACTTGAGGTCAAGAGTTTGAGACCAGCCTGGCCAACATGGTGAAACC